TCAGAAAATATCCTACATGTCTTACTTGGAGTAGCCACAGGAGTGGCAATGCAAGTTTCCACCTATTGCCCTCACTTTATTTCTGGTGAAGTACATTTTCTAAAGGGTGTGATCTGGATGATTTTCTAAATTACATCTGTAAAGCCAATACAATAATAAAAAGAGTCTCAGTACAAAGTGTTCCTGCATGTTTTATTTGTTGATGTCTTCCCCAAAGAACCAGTGGGAGCCTTTTTTCTTTTTATTTCTTTTCAGCGCTGATAGATTGTCTATTAAAATCAGATTGGTGATTAAAACCCATTGCACACACAGTGTGGAAAATCTTCCAGCTGGTTGCTGAAGAGCCTAGTGAGCTTTTAAGTAGCACACTACCATGCAACGCGGTAACTCAGTACATTGTACTGAAACCTCAGAACCATTCAGTCTTTCTCTATTTCCATTTTTAGCTGAACTAAGACTTGCCTACTGCAAATATGGATAGAGAAGTTCTTCCTATTTCACTGAGCAAAGCCACGGAGTCCTCTGAGCTGAGGTGGGGATCCAAAAACCTTGTAAAGTTTTACAGAAGTCCAAGAGATTGACAACATTCACCTTCATACATTCCTGGGGAACATCTGACATCTCTTGAAACCCTAGGGCAGCAAGGCAAGGGATGCTCTCTCCCAGGCAGGCTCTGGGGCAAGAGCAGCCCCTGGAAAAGACCATGGGTTGGTGTAGAGTAAGGGCATGGGAAACACCCATTCCAGCCAAAGCTTGTGCAGGAAGGACACAGAATCAGATTGCAGGCAATATGCAAAGAAATGACATATGATTGAGTTGACCTGCTAATGATGGACTCAAAAGGCCGACCTTGGTACGCATGGGTCGTGCACCATAGATTTTAGTACAGCTTGGAGGGATGAACCTCCTCCTCACATCTGTTTCCACACAGAGATCACATGGTAATAAAACTGAAGCTTCTGCAAATATTACAACTCATCGTGCTGAAATGGGTTGCGGCGCCTGAGAAAGCTGGGGAGTGGGCCTCCAGCAGGCATCAGTAGGAGCTTTCAATTAATGTGGCAATAGTTCTCAGTTTTATATTCTTAATTAATGTAATGTTTCTAAGTGGTGTCAGGCAGACATCAAAGCTCGAGGCTTACTGCAACAGCAGCCCCAGCTCAGACACCACAAGGGGAAATTGCTTCCATTGCCATTAGCCATGACTATCTAGCCTTCTCAGGATGGCTTGTTAAGTATAGAGCTTCAGATATGAACCCAAGCCAATGCAAACAATAAACAAAATGTTGACTAGCTTTGGGAATTTCCCTGATCTTTTCATTTATTTAGATAAACAAAAAGGAAGAGATTTTCTGTATTTTTCAGATGGTTGGATTTTCTTGTTTTAAGCCTGTGTCTTTTTTAAACCTGTGTTAAAAGCTGATCAGATTCTTTGCAAACCACAATACCAATAGTTTTACAAAGAATTACTTGCAAAAATAGAGAGAAAAATCAGTTATTTGATATTAGTAGGAGCCGCCCCTCAAAAACTTTCAACTTGGTGCTAGCATCATCTCTGAGCTCCTCACATACTCATATGAGACATTGTATAGATGCAGACTTTTGCCCCTTGCTTATTCATGTGCAGAAATACAAGGTGCAGATTTGCTTAAACTGTGATAAGTTGATATAATTGTGGAACATGGTAACTGCTACATTCTACTGTAAAAGAATAAGCAGCAGAGAGAAAAAAAAAAAGAATTTGATGACTTATATCTAACTCATTCTTTTATTTAATTTTCCCCCAATACTGATATTGTTTTATTTGGTTTGGAATAGATTCTTTAAAAAAACAAAAAAAAAAGAAAAATATCTTTGAAAGTAATGGAATATCTCTCCAAGTATGTAAGGGCAAACCTTCCCTCACAGAGTCTTGTTGGTTTCAAAGGGAAACATACCTTTATTGTTTCTCAGAAAACCTGAGATGCTATTTTCTCTATTTTCCAAAAGAAAACTAAAGTGGAAAGTTTGTCCATTTTGGAGGTATCCCACACACTGAGCTCCATAATCGCACTTGCAGAGTGGTGCATTATTCATCAAATACATTTGTTCGAATGATGTCATATATATCTCCCTAATGGGCCACATTACTTAATAAAGGATTTATATTTTCTGTTGGGAGGCTGCTTGAGGATGTAGAGAACTTTTACTGGGCTTCTGAGTCTTGTAAAATGGTATGGCTTTTTTCAGGCAGTCCTGATCCATCTGGGGGGCCTCTGCTTGTGTTTCTCAGTAGAAATGTTGGCTTACTTACCAAACTTGATACAAGCACTATGCCATAAACATAATATTTAATACAACCTTATTATACATAGCTATAATAATTAATGTTCAAAATACACACGTGTACTGTGGAGTTATGTTTCACAAATTAATATACATATTACATTAACCCAGTGCAGAATATCAAATAAATCTATTTCTGCTGCATCCAAAACAGACATTTGAATGTGTGAAGCAAATAAGAAACATGTTTCCCAGTAGATGTAGAGGCTGTATTTCATGAAGATCTCCGTATGTCTTAATTCATCTCATATTTCCATGGCCATTTGCATTTCTTCTCCCTTTTTGTCTCAGAACCGGTACGAGTTAGTCTGTTTGTAGAAACAGAGTCAAGGATGATATGCTGTCTCTCCACATTGCCTTAGTAAAATTGTCATGGCTTTTTGCTTCTCAAATATTGTTTTGTGATTACTTTCCTCTTTTGGAGAGAAAGGCAAGTAGAAAAGGAAAATTAAATATGAAAGTAGTTTAGCCCTCATGCAGAGAATCATGATCTTTACTTAGCATTAGTTGATAATGTTTAAGTAAGGAGACGGTGTAAATAAAAACAAATATATAATCCCCTAACTACTGTAGGGGCCAAATCAAAAGGCATATGGCCGTTCAGTAACTACATCGCTGTAGCACATGTCCTACACAGTAAAATAACCTGTACTTTCAGCTAACATCTAGAAAAAATATTATCTCACAGCTTTGGTTGGAAGGTTTGTTCACCTATGCAGTCCAAAACCAAGAATTACTTTGCATGCTTTAGGTCACAGATTCTTAGTTAAAATTTAGCATTGTAAAATAATATGTCAACTATCCTGTGTCTTATTTTTGTCCACTAGGTGATTTACAGATCATTTCCATAATATTTTAAATGAAAATGCTTTTTTAACTAGAAAACCAAAAATGATTTTGGAAGTCTTATGCAGATGAAGCCTGGGTACATTTTCATTTGTCAGCACCAGTATGGAGCTACTAGTGGGCAAAAATTAACTTGAGTTTCCCTTGTTGCTTCTGCCTCTTCAACATGAGCAAATATGGAAATAACTGATATGGCATTTGCTAATGACATCTACTCTTTCTGTGGTCGTTAACATGCAGGATGATGTATACCAAGAATTCTTTTTATGTGGAAAGCTATAAACTGCTCTCCAAAAAAAAAAAAAAAGCACCCCTTAGAGCTTAGTAGAGGGGTAGCAGCAAAGAATATGTCTGGTGACCAGAAAAATCAGACTTCCAACACTAGCAGCACTGAGCTGGTCAAGGGAGCACTGACTACATATTTATCCTTTAAATGTTTGAGTGAAGTCTTTCAAGATATCCACACTGTTGTCATTGTAATAGGGACTTATGTAAGTTTATTTTTTCACACCTTGCCTGTTAAAGTCCTTTAATGATAGAACATCAATTGTGTGATTATTACTGTAATTACTGCTGTTCTTCACAGTGAAGAGAAATACAATGAGCAGGCAAGTAAACCTATCTACCATAGTTTCTTTCCCTGTGGAGATGAGTTTTTCCATCCTGGAGTTGAAATGCACATTGCTGATCAAGTCTACTTCACTTAGGAAAGTGATAGCATGTTTTCTTCTTCTGGATACCCTTCAGAATGATTACAGTATGGTGCACAGCCACCACCAATACTGATCTGGGGATACAGTCATCTCATTGCTTGAAAACAAACCGGATGAATGTTGTCCAAAATACAGTGCAACGTTACACGGTAATCTGCTGTTTAGTACGTTCAAAATTGCTTCTGTGCTGCAGCACTTGGAGGGGAACAACTTTACAGGTATTTCCTCAATGCCAGGTCCTTAACTACAAAATATTTACAGATGTATTCTACTTTTTGAAGTCTCAGCATCAGAAGAGATCTGTAGTAGTAACAACACCAAAAGACAGAAGTGGAGCAATCCAGAGAAGCTAATGTAAAATAAATAAATAGGAATAAATATTGTGTGTGTCACATCTCCTTTCCTCGGTTCCTTTGTATTGCCTCTGGCTCAGGCCCACCCAGAAGAGTTTAAATATTGGTTAATGTGTCACTTCTGAAAACAGGATATATTGCAAATAAGTTTCCCTCCTGCCAGAACCTGGGCACGTAACAAAGAAAACCCATATGGCTGAGGTGGTCAACCTGAAATCTGTTTCCAAGACAGTGATTTAAGTAAGAACATGAAACAACGTGATGGGAATCTGTTTCTGAAGCAAGACTTACAATGCAGAAAGGGGGAAGGTGCAAGCCTAGCTTATTACTGTTGCAGTTTTAAGATTACAATCTTGTGGTCTCCTTGGGATGTCATAACATGCTTTGAACTTCTATCAAGATATTTCCATATTCATTTGCTTACTTCCACAAGGACAGACACCAATAAGACAATATGCTACAAATAATTTTGTCTAAAGTTACCAAAGAGGGGGAAGAAAGAGGGAAAGAAGAAAGGAGGAGGGGGAGAGAGAGAATATTTGGTCTGCTCTTAATTAAAACCAGCCGATGACATACAATGATTTGTCTGAAGCACTTCTGAGCTGTACCCATTTCTGTTTACACTTGACAGCTGTACATTCTTTCCTGCCTGTATTGTTTGAACTATGGCCAATGGTACAATCATTAAATCTTTGATAGTATTTCTTAAATACAAAATTGACCCTTTTTTTCAGACAAAAAGAGAGGTAGAGAAGGAACAGCTATGTTACATTAGAGAGGTTTGGATTTACTAGGTCATACACTCTGTATTGCAAAATAGTGCCTCTGGTCATTTTTGGATTGGCTATTAAGATTTTTTTTTTTCATGTTCTTCACATCTGCTTACAAAAAGAAATCATCATCCTGTCACCCTTCCTCTCAAAAGATGCCTGTTTTGGGTAGAGAACAAAGCATAGCGTCCATGATTACTGGGTCTGATTCTGCACTGTGAGAGGCAGAGGGTCTCACCAGCCCACGACAGGTTTTTGCTATGCACAGAAAGTTCCAGAAAAGAATCCACAGATTAAGAAAAACAGGAAAGTTAAATACGAGACATTTGAAACCAGCTGTCAATCCACTACAAATGGAGAAGCTGGAAAGTAAAACTTTGTCAAGGCCAAACATGTCCTAGGTGCTCTGTGGGTTCTTTCTCTGAGTCCAGACTGCAGCCTCCAAGATCAGTGGCTTATTACAAATGGAAATGCTTACCTAAAAAGGAGAGAAAGACCATTAGCATATGCCTTATCCCTTAAGTCTGAGCTAAACCACAGAACTGATTTGATCCAGATATTACCAGCTGTCCCCTGAACTTGCTTGAAGAGGGTTTTGTTGCCAGCTTTGGCAGAGGTGAATGGTCAGATGATGCTGTATTACTAACCAGAGCTGTGCTGCTCCTTCTTGGGCTGAGACGCCAGAGATGCATTTTGTTTCATAGACTGGAGCTTAGTCTAAAATCACACAGAGTAAACAGGAAGGATATATTTAGCTTCTGCAGCTTAGTGGGAGTGGGAAACCTTCTCTTGACTTTAAAGTCCTGCAGTTGTCTGTAAAAACTTGCAAAGTCCTGGTGACTATCTCTGAGCTCCCTAGGACTGTATGAGCTTGAGGGGCTGTCTAAGTCCTTCTGATACTGCAGCAGTACCTCTGCTCCTCTGTATATTCTGTTTTACGTGGAGACTGCCCTGGTTTACCAGGAAGAGTTTATTTGTTAATTTAAATGTGCTATGAAACTAAAGTCTTAAGAGTTTGTTTGTTTGGTTATAGCAGCACTTAACTGCCTAAATTGAAATTAATGAGCAGGACAAAAGGAAGCATAGTCTCAGCCTTGAACAACTGCATATCTGCCTCCTCTGCCTCTAATTTCCAGACTTTCTGAAAAGAAAGACTGCCAAAGATATGTAAAAACACATTGCACAACACTGAATGCGTTCAAGCAGTGTCACAGCAATGCTGGGAAGGCATGGAGTCAGAGCATGACAGAGTCCCTGCCCCAGGGACCTCCATGTGAGATTTTCAAAACTGCTCAGCACTGGCCTAATTGAAGTCAATTGGAGTTTTTCCCTAATTTACTTTCAATATTAGATCAAAGCTAAAATGTCAAAAAAAGTTCACTTACATTCTAAATTATTAAATTATTCAATTTTTCAACCAGTCTGGGATCTTGATGAATTAAAAATAGTATTTCAGATCCTGGTATCCTGCCCTGTCATTAAAAGTATATACTTGCTAGTTTCAATGGATTTTCTATTTTCTTCTTATTTTCTTCTGTGCATCAAAAAAACACCAGAGAAGATGCCTTTTCTGAGAAGTCACAAGCATGAGAGGAACTGATTGACAGGCACAAAAGCAATTACTACATCAGCCACAAACGAGGACCGAGAATCAGTGTTTTTCAGGCTACTCAGAGTGGCATCCATGTTGCAGGAACCAGGCATGCCTCCCATCACTGCTCCATATGAGGAATGTGGTCTGCTCCAGATGAGCCCTAGGTACATACCTTCACCTTCACTTCTGCCAGGGGCACATCATTCCTGCAGGCAGAAAAGGAGAAAGTTTCATTGCGTACCTACAGATCGCCATTTGACACTAAGATTCATTTTGTAAGTCTGACCTTAGGCAAACCACCAGAAGGAATCTCATTTCACCCTGCAGATTCAGCCTCAAGTTTCCAGGTCTTTGAAGAATACCTCTGGAGAATACTAGAGGTGAAACATCTAGAAGACTGCACATTTCCTGTAACAGCGAATAATTTACATCTATTGAAAACTGGATAGGCTGTGCTGCCACCCTGTCTTTCTGGATTGTGCCTTCCTATTGTACTGGTTGATCTGTCTACTAGGCTAGAAGTTCGGGTTTCCCTCTTTCTCCCTTTCTTCATTCTTCCAGCACCCATAAACCTTGTTCTTGCATGAACTGTCCCCAATATAACCTACTATTGCGGTATTTGAGAGGTGAAACTTATGGTAAAGTTCATGTGCACATTAGTGAGTCAGTCCTGTAGACAGCTCCCTCATCATGCCATCCCAACAACCGTCCTTCCACTGCACTGCTTCTTAAGGATCTTCACTTTGCAATTCAGATACACAAATCTCACTCAGAAACCACCATCTTGCTACCTCTTATGACACTGCCTTGGGGCTTTGAGAGTAGAAAGAGGAACCTTAGCTACAGAGAATCTTGTCTTCTGCTTTGAATCACTGATTTTTCTCGCAGTGTGTTCATTACAAGTGTTAAGTACAGTTACCATCTAACTACCTCATCATCACTCTTGACTAATACAGGAATTTTAGGGACTGGCATGACAGGCCCATGTAAATACAAATAAATCAGCACCATTGAGAAGAATAAAGGAAAATAAAAGAAAGAAATCTCACAGTACAAACTTTGAGAGGGCTAGACTTTATAAGCATGCCTACCAGCAGCAATAAAATCTGACTTTCTGGTTTCTTAGCTATTTACCATGTGCCTTCTTGTTTGATTTCTCCCTCTCTTCCTTCAATGGAATAGAAGGATATTTTTAAAATAAATTATGACAGAGTTTTTCCATTTGTTTTCATTTGTAAGGGTACTTCATCTACATACTCACATGTATAACCCACTCCTGAGGGTCATCTCCTGTCTGTTGCACTTTATTGAGAGGTGAAGCAATTCAGCTGCCTCCTAGATTAACACTAATCTAGGACTGCTCTGAACTGGCAAGTCATGAAATACAAAACCAAGGACAACAACCCACTGCCACAGTGCCAGCGGGCAGCATGTGCTGGCCCAGCTAAGATCCTCAGCCATTTAAGAGAGAGTGGAGTTACACCACAGTTATGCCCCAAGCAGGTGGACCTAATGAGCAGTGAGATGATTCAATCCAAGGGGGATTCAAGGGGATTCCTTACAGAGCACTGAATCATCAGGTCTGTAAAATAATTTCCACAGCAAACTGTTGAGAACAAACAGTTAAAGCTGCAAACAGAAGATTTGGGTCCAATACCAATCTCTTGGGACACTGCTGAGTCATATGCAGGACTTGGATAAAAAAAGTGGATGTCACAGCTGGATGCATTCAGCTAGGAAAGAAATCAAAGAAATGATCAGTTCTTAGCTGATTATATTTATTTGTAGTTCATTACTGTATTTATATTCCTTCCTATGAAGAGTGTACAACAATCAGCCAGGCTGGTCCTTCTGGGGAAATACTTATCGGAGCCTCTAACACAACACAAATGTAGAGGGTCCTCATTAGGAGGCAGTGAAATGACAACTCCAGGCAGTTTTATGCAGTTTATGAGCAAGGAGAGTGAAGACAAGGTGAGAAAAACATGAAAAAAGAAGATAATGAAATACGGTGTCCCCTGCAAGGGAAGACAGAGTCTGGGCGAGAAGCACAGCAGGGGTATTCATGCCAGCCAACCTCAGGTGTCTCATCTAGATGCCTACACTGAGCTCCCCAATCACCCATTGCAGAGGCAGGCCCCTGAGGACTAAAACTACTCAGGAGGTCCCAAGGACTTGGTAGGATGCTGAAGAGTCTCACCTTGGTTGGAAGTTAATAAGTTTGATGTGCCTTTATGCATCACCAGGTCTTATCCTGTCACTCTTTGTGTTTGGGGTGCTTGGCTAAATGAGAGACCCATACACTCTAGCTGAGACCTGTACTACAGAATAGTTTTCAAATCCTTTCTTTGTGCAGGCCTTGGTACAGATCTAAGAAGTGGCAGCAATCAGCCTATGGGAGGTGTTACCTAGGCTTGGGGCCAGTGTAATTAGTTGACCATGTGCCTATGCCATAAATGCAGTCTTCAGTAACACGTGGATCCAAGGGATCAAAGTCTGGATGAGCAAAGCCAGCTTAAACAGGTTAGCTGAGAGGATTTGCCTTTTTTTTCCTATAGCTTGACAATACTCAGAAGGAATGCCACATCACTAAGTTCACATTAGGCAGCACTGCATTACAAAATTCAAAACAGAGATGTGTCTTATTGTGTTTAAATATTATTAAATCAGCTCCCTCAGCTTCTTTAGGGCTATGCCAGTTTACACCAGTTGAGGATGTGGTGTGAGCTCTCAAGGAAGCTGCTTGGTCCTAAGTACAAACACATTGCCTGCTAAGATCTCACAAGCCACGGAAAAAAACTCACCTGGGATTCCAGTGATCTCTTGCTGCTGTTCAGCCTGAAGAACTGAGGTATAAATGTAATATGAAAAAATAAAAATATGTGTATCTTTAACTGAGCTAGATTTCTGCGTCTCTTGCTTTTAGGAGTATTATATCAACACCTGTTACTTTTGCCCTAGTCAACATTTCCATCAGAAACTTATTGTTTCAGGAGTTTTATAGCTAGTAAAACTTTTATAAGTCAGACATGATGTGCTTTAGAAAAAGGCTAATCTTTTGGGTCTTGGTGCTGGAATGTGCTTTCATATGCAACAAATGTATAAGAGAGTAATGGTTGTAGTGGCTTTTCTTATATTTAGAGGGAGAAAGAATTGCAAATACAATCAGATATCAAACCATTCAACCATTAATTTTACACTGAGAGTCTGGGCCACTCTCACAAAATATCTGTCTACAGGCAGCAAATAAAATGAAAGGCAGACAGTAGGGAAATTCTCATCCCTCACTTCTGAAAAGAACTTAAGCACTTACTTAAGTCCATTCTTACTTCAAAAGACATTTAAGCATATACGCAAACCCCTTTTGCAAAATGATTGCTTTCCACAGTTTGTTCTGCAAACCCAAGAGTCACCCCACTCTGCTCATTGCTGATGCTCTTGAAATTACTCATGGGCATAAATATTTGCAAGAATGAGACCTAACTGAGGAGCTGTGTCTATATGAGGCATCATGGCCAAGCAACACCCATCTAAAGAAGAATGCTCCCAGACTTGCTGTCTCCACTAGAGAGCAGTTACCAGCATAGAGTGGAGTCAGTAATGTCACCCATATGGCAGAACCCTGGAGTGTGCCATGCCCCCTGGCAGCAGGCCACATCTCAAATGAGCCCAATGTGTCTCCTAGGAATGCATCTCCAAATGGACCTTGGGAAGAAGAGAGCAATTCCATGGTTGGCAGCTGCTTGCAGAGGAACCAAAGTTTCTCTAAAATCCCTCTAACTCTGTAGAAATAGCAGACTGAGGTTCCCCGTGGCTGTTTGCAGCACACAAGCCTGACCAAGAGAACTGTAGAGGTCCTCTATAAACTGCCAACTCACCCAGCCTGAGAGTTTAAGGAGTGAACAAATGGTACCTCAATTCAAGGCATCAGTGAAATTGAAAGGATCTCCAGGGAAACCTACCACTCCTCTGACACCAGCCAGAGGATGACTGCCCTTTCAGAGGTGGCTCACCCCTTGGTGCCTGCCAGCTGCTGAGACATCCTCTGGAGAGATACCAATGATATCTGGGAAAGGAAGAAATTGTAATTTCACAGAAGCACAATGACATATTACACCGTTTCCCTGGATGCAATGTTCAGAAGCTCTGAGCTGAATCAGCCCCAGCTCATTCCCACATTTGAACATCCTAGGAAAAGCTACCCCAAATTTTACTGGTTCAGGGCTCACTTTCCATGAAATAAATAATTTATTGCTAACTGTGTGTGATGTGGTCTTGCAGAATTTTGAATTAGCAGGAGAAGCAACTTTCTGGACACTCACAAATAATCAGACATATATACTTATTGGGATGTAGCCAGTGTTGACAAACCCCAGGTTAAAAAGAAGAATCTGGTGCAGACCTCTGTTACTCAAAAAGAAATGGCCAGCCTTACAAAATTTGAGTGTCTGTGGCTTTGCTCAATTTCTGTTTGGAGACTCCTGTATCCACTCCAAGTTTTGAACCTTTCAAAGTTTTGAAAACCCAATAAACATCTAATTGCTGTGTTTTTACAGTGCTACCTAAATTCACAGGATCATAGAATCATTTGAGTTGGAAGGGACCCTTAAAAGCCATCTGGTCCAACTCCCATGCAATGAGCAGGGACACCTACAGCTCCATCAGGTGCTCAGAGACCCATCCAGCCTGACCTCGAGTGTCTCCAGGGATGGGGCATCCACTGCCTCTCTGGGTAGCCTGCTCCAGTGCCTCATCACTTATTGTAAAGAACTTATTCCTTCTATTCAATCTAATCTTCCCTTTTTTAGTTTGAAACCATTTCCCCTTGTCCTATCACCATAGATCCTGCTAAAGACTCTGTCCCTTTCTTTCTTACAGCCATCCTTTAGATACTGAAAAACCACTCTCAGGTCTCCTGAAGCCTTCTCTTCTCCAAGCTGAACACACCCAGCTCTCTCAGCCTGCCCTCACAGGGGAGGTATTCCATCCTTTGAATCATTTTTGTGGCCCTCCTCTGGATGCCCTCCAGCAGCTCCATGTCTCTCCTGTGCTGTGGACTCCCCATCTGGACGCGGTGCAAGATCTCATACCTGGAAGATCTCATACAGACAGGGGATGATGATGAAAATACTGAGTAACAGAAGAGCAAAAAAAAAGTGAGATGTGTAGGTGTGGCCTGTGTTTCTTTCTCCAATGCAAGGGAGAGACAAAAGTTTGAGTCCCATCAAGATTTACTTGTCTTTACCATTCCCTATCATACCTTACAGCAAAGGGATGCCAACCCAGAAAATCTTCAAATCCAAACACCAAAATATTAAAGCTTTTTGGCTTTATCTTAGCACCGAGAACGAAATAATTTTTCCTGTTTCTAACTCAGCCCACACGTAGAGCTGTGCCTTCAG